TATGTAAATATATATATATATATATTACCTATTTAAATGTAAACACTTTTTGTACAAGAATGTCACATTTGTTTACTTACATGAAGTTTTTATATAAAAAACTTAAATAAATTACAAATTCATAATTACATTACAATTGGTATGTATACTGATTTATACCTTAATGTTTCACGTTACTTAGCCGGAAAACGTTATATTCCTCATTTGTCTGACAGCAGCTACAACCCTGGCATTACATCCTGAGCTGCTATTTTGATAATCATCTGGTGGTAGTCTTAATAAAACAGACATTTGTTGAAGATTTTCAGATAAAGACAAACCAAGTTCCTCTAACACATTACCAAGGTAATCTGTGGTATACATTATGCGTATTAAAAACCTAAGGAAAATATCTTTCACACTCAAATTTTTTATATTAAGAAATATACCTATGTCGGTTGCAAGTTGTTTACATGCTGCAGAGTTTAACTGGCAAATTCCTAATGTTTGATCGAGGAACATTTGACATGTTTCCTTAGCAACAATGTCTAATAAAATACCAGTGAAACCAGATTCAGTAGAACTTTGTGCATATTGTGTATCTGCCGCTTTTAATGCTTGAGTGAGACTTGGATTTTCTCTAAGTAAAAATGGCTCTAAATGTTGTGGTAATGTCATCAAATATTGTCCAACTTGTGTTATATATTCCTGAGGTGCAAAACTATAATCAGGTAGGTCTGCACTTAAATGAGTCATTTTGTTGGCTTCTGTTGACCATGCTGGTGCTTTTTGCACCTGTAATAACTGTGTAAGGATAGGAGCAAAAATTACTTCATATGTTGCACGATGTAAATCGGAACAATGTTTGTGAATAGATTTTATTATTGAATCAAGAATTGTTTCTTCTTCTGTGAAAAAAAGAAAAACATATTTAAATATTAAGTAATAAGTTAGATCTTCTATGAAAGAGTTTTTTTTATTAATTACCTTTTAGGAAAGATGCAGTTAAATTCTCTAGTTCATTTTGGCTTGATGTATTTAAAAGTAATTTTTGATACTGATTAAAAACACTACCAGTTGTACTTTGCAACTTATTACTAGCTTCAATAATATCAGTTACTAAAGATTTTTCAAATTGCTGAATTTGTCCCAGAAAGTCACCTGTATGTATTACAATTAAGTTTAGTTTAAAAAGGACTTTACCTAAATTCATTGAAGAAAAGAGATATACAAATGTTACCAATAGTTTGCATTAAGGTAAGGCACATTTGGAATAAATTCCAATCCTCGTGCTTTACTTTTCTGCGTTCTAATTGTCGTATAGCTGCTTGATATTTTTCGAGATATTTATTAAAATAACTCTGCAAACGTAAGAAATTCACTACATGTATCTAACAGAAAAAAATTATTCATCTTAAAATTTTGTCTGAAATAACATACAGTTAGAGATTTTAGTAAGCCAGGATAACTACAACCGTCCGTAAAGAGTTTACATCTTTTATTGGCTTCATTTGCATATTCCATTACTCTTGAAATACTAAGGGAAAGTGCATTAATTGTATCACTTAGATCATCTTGCGCAAAGCTTATAGATTGCAGCTGATGTTCAAGTTGAGCTGTTTCATAAACATTGTACTTTGTAACATATGGAACATAAGGTGCATATACTGCTTGTGCTAATGATAACAATTTTGGATTCTGCAATTTTCCTTGTGATGATATTTCAACTGCACTTTGTAGATTTACTGCAAAATGCCTTGTAATTTGTTTAAGTTCAAGTAATAGAGACAATTTTGTTGCATTTGAATGTTGTTTCAAAAGTGCTTCGATACATTCTGGAATTCCTGGATCTAAACTTCTCAACAGATCAGCGTATACCTCAATTATTATATCAACCGAGGTATTTGGAAATACTTGATGACACCATTTCACCTTTATTAAAATCATATTATTTTAGGAAAGGGTTTACATTGGACACGTTAAAGCAGCATACTCAAAATAAAGGTTACCTGTTCATTCCAATTAGATAATAATTTATCATAGTAAGTATGTAACCAGTAAGAAACAGTTTCATCTTGTCCTAATTCAATAGTCCTACGCCATTCTTGTGCTAATGATACTTTCAAACAATTGTGATAGTATTTAAGAAGTTGTGGTAAACGTTCCATTTTATTAAAAATATCCACATAAACTTTCGACTGTTCTAAATATTTTAAAATTAAAATATTAGATGCATATTTCTTTAAATAAAAAACAATATAATAGCAATCAATACAATATACCCAAATTTGCAGCAGTAAATGCCTGAACTAATTTTGGGCTAGCTATGGCTTCTAATCGATTTTTTAAACCTTCTAATTGTAATTTTTTATCTTCATAATCGATAACATTTACAAGCATAGCCAATGATCTTTGCATACTGAACAATTTATTTGCAATAGCTTCTACATCTCCCGATTCAAATACCTGTAATGTTAAAAATAAAATATTGCCAAAATTTCAGGCTTCATTTCTCTTTCTTTTTTTTTTTTTTTTAATGCATTATTATACCTCTTCAACATCAGTAGCAAGCACACTCCAATTATCGGCCTCGTGTAGTCCTTGTTTAGCAGTCTGTAAATCTGTTTTTATTCTATCTATTTTCTCTAATGTTGCCATTGATGAGGCAGTGTCTTTTTCAACCTAGTCAATGAATTTATTGTAGTAATAATAAGCATTCCATTACATAAGAAGAAATAATTTAAAACAAAACCTTTTCTATTTCTTGTTTAACAGCAACCATTTTCTCTCTTAAAGCTAAAGCTTCTTGTTGCAAAAGCTGTGTGTCTCTTAAAACCCTTGGTAAACTTGAAAGAACAGACTGACTAGTCTCTTCTAAAGCACCATTAACTTGTTGCACATATAATTGCAGCTTCATTACCAAGGATGAAACGAATGCCTAATGACACGATTCTTTTTTAAATATTATTTAAATAAATAAATAGAAGATAAGAAATGTAGGAGATGCTTTCTTAAATTCGAATGTTACAACGATTTTGTGTTGGAGCATTTATTTATACTCGAAATAACAATTAAAGAATTTCTAAAATACATTTTTCATTCGATAATAGGTTATTTCTATCTGCATTATAACGAAAAGAAAAAGATCATCTTTAAAAAAGACACACGGTGTCATTGACCGCGATATAATGGAAGCAGTCAGTTTAGTGACTGACTGTACTAGTGCAACTGAAAGTCAAAACTGTGTCGGGGAAAGAAAGACAACCCGCACAATCGAAACCACCATAACTATACGACTTACATCTTTGTTTTCTTGTGCCTCGGTAGACTTGAACGTTTTATTAATCCAACCTTTGACATCGAAAGTATCTTCAGAAAATGCAGATACATCCTGAAACCGTCGGTTTAAGGTTAGGAACGATTTGGTCTTCTATTTTAAGAATTTTCTTAATTTATTCACACGAAATAGTAGTCGTTTTAAATATTTTACGAAGCACAACGATAATCCTGAGTAGATGTTTTATTTTCAGAATTTTTTAATGAACACAAATCGAAAAATGAGAAAGTGATGAAAATTCAATGATTTTTCATTGCTTACCATGATAAATTTAGGAGTCGCTATGAATTTTTAGACAGGTTCTTATCGAAAGATTGAAAACTATAGAGATTTCGGCGTGAACGACAGTATTTGCAAATACGCAATTTATTTCGTTTATGTCGTATTACTTTTTCGCTAACGCCGCATAGCGCAGAAGTACTTCGCTACACGATCACTTTGCCATTGTATTTTACGTGTTGTTTCGTGACGCCCAGAATCAAGGAAGACGGTTGTTATCGTATATATTGAATTACGGCAAATTAAATCGCTCATTGTGTTTTCTTTGTTTCCTTAGATTTGCATTATAAAGCATTTTCGTGTAGCCATAAAATATATTCAGTGTTTTGAAGGTTTATTATCGTCGCACGCACCGATTGACGAAATGTGCAATATTTATATATCTTTTAACGGTACGCAGTTCTAGGTTAATGTATTCAGTTTATTTAATGTGAAAATGAGAAAATCTCGGGAAACTAAATTGACAATTTCGATATGCGATCCGTTATATGTGTCAGTATTAGAATTTAACGATAACGCGTAATAATGCTTTACGATGAAAAGCAAAAAATAATGGAAGTAAATGTTAAAAATAAGACGAGTGTTTTGTTTTTGCTACAATAATTGTGATAAAACGACTCGTATATCTCGGATTCCAGACGGATACTATAAAGGAAAGGTCATTCTGGAAGAGGCTGTTTCACCCCCTTTGCGATGATCAACTCGGTTTCCTCGTAACACAGTCCACGTCTCTGGATTTCGACGAACTGCCAAGCAGGAGATCGTAAATCGAAGAGGAAAAGGGAGAGAAAATGGAAAACAGCATGTTATCGGCCGTTTCCGGGCCCTTTGTTGATTGCCACGCCTCCGAAACTGCGTTTGCGCGTGACGATTTGCGCAACAGTTGGAAGTTGGAATTTTGCCTCGAAATAGCCTTAATCTCGACAAAAATAAGGAGCTCTGGCTGAGCAGAACTGCATCACTGTACTTTGCCCTTTTCTTTGCGAACATTGAACGCATCGTCTGGTTGAGCAAAGGCTTACTACCTCTTCCAGGTTGTGCACACACGCATATGCTTCGTTTCTCTATGTTGTACAAACTTATTACGTATCTCATACATTATTTCATGCCTTATTTATACTCGTCTCATAATTATTATTCTTGTTAATATTTTTGTTATCGTATATTTGGAACGAGATGTTGGCGTTTCGCGTTCACATACGTAACAAGGAAATTATTCTTTCACATAAAGTTGAACTTTATTACGGACGGCAATCAGACCCAATCAGTAGAGCATATTAGAAGCGTATGCATTTAATGTCGCATATAAAGTGCGTCGATCAGAAGTCCAATTTTGTAATCTTGCTGTGCATATGAATGCGTGCCGCTGATAAATTGTCCTTCAATTGGACTAGACCGAGACTTTTCAAAAAAAAGCACCATTTAATTTACCTCACATAAACAAATCGTGCAATGTTAACCTTTATCTTTTGCGACATTCCGAATTCTTTCCTTTTATGCGTTATCGTTTACGTTGAAAAATTGTTGGCGACAATTTCTTATGCTTTCGATGCTACCACGATTCGTTATTCATAGTCAATTAGTGTTGGTTCGATAATTTTGCTACAGCATTATGGCGTTTCTCATAGATTTCCGTAGACCTTATCATATCGCAAATTATCGCAAAAGTAACAATGTCGAATACAGCGGTGTTTTTGCGAAGTGGAAAAATTATAGAACCATCACCCGTATACGGAAACACCATTGTACCTGGTCCCAGGACGACTATGCGATACAGCAGTCCGTAGGAAGGGTAAGAGGTGTCCCCGACCTTGAAGTTCGTACCAGCCAATCCCAAGCCTTTATTTCCTGACAGAGGGCACGGGATTGGCTAAATGTTCTCCACGATGGCAACTACTTCTGAGTGCTTCCGGTTGGAAAGAGAGATTTTCCAAAAAGCAGATAGCCGGTAAGTTGCTAGTACAGGTAACGTCGATTTTCTTCTCTCTTTTTCATTTCCGCCAAGCACTATCCCTTCGATGCACTACTCACAGCGTGAACAGCGTGAAAATGTGGTTATCAATGCGCGATAACGAGCCAGTGGACGGATTCGCTTAATCTCTCTTCCTGTATGGAAACCCCTTTTGCCATCGCAAAAGGTGCATCAATCGTGTCGAAAACAAATTGCTTGGCTGTGATTACGCATTGTCCGGCCAATGCGACCAACAGCATGATGAGATTGTTATGGCTGTGTAGCACAGGGAATCCATCTCTCATTGGCAGAAATACAGCGATCAATTAGAAGAATGCGACGCAAGAGAGACACTCTGACGATTACTCTGAAACGTTAGTCCCTGTGACACACAGTTCAGAGCATTTGGTATCAGCCTTTGCCGTGGTGCTCGTGTTACATCTGGCTGCGATACGTTACATTGGACCAGCCAATCTTTCACTCTGATTTCTAGATCACATATTATATACATATATAATATATATGATATATATATATATATATATATAATATACACCATGTATACAAATATACATATGTTCACTATGCTTCGGCCCTACAAGCTTTTGTCGTTGTTAACGCGCTCGACAAACCCTTAGACAATTACTCACAAGATTCAGGGCGAGTATTTGTACTTGGAAAGAATCTCTAAGGGATCTGAAATGCACGAATTTTACGATTAACGCCATTTATAAAATAATTTCTTCGCTCTACATGTCGCATCTAATTTTGATCCGATCTTCTTGGTACTGTTTTTGTTCGATTGGTCGCTTTTGTTCTTAGATAATAATTTCGCGATCGAATTTGTAATCCTATTTAATTCGCGGTAAGTTCTCGGGAACTTTCGAAAGACAATCGGTAGCTTTGTCTGGCACTTTGCAAAGTAAACATTTCAAGGCTGTTGACGAATGTTATTAATGATCCTCTAACCGTCTCGTTTCGTCGCAGTTCTATTCCCTGTAATTTCTAATGTCCATAGTTTGCTTTCCTTTCGTCGAGATTCGCAGTAAACGAAAATTCCATGCCACGCGTTCGAGAATAACACGTATTTGACGATAACATTTGTTCCGTGCAATATGATAGACCGTTTCAAGGTAACAGGTCCTTAACCTATCTCACAGAGTGTCGAGGACCGCATACAGTCGAGTTGGAGGAAGGAAAAGAGGATATTAGATCGTGTAAAAATTTTCGGGAAATTTCAGGCGGACGAAATGAAATAAATAAATAAATAAATAAATAAATAAATAAATAAAGAAAGAAAGGAATAAATAAAGAATTTCATCGTTGAGAAAGATTCATGAACTCGGTGTCGGTGATACGTTTGATCGCGTTCATGCTGGAGCGTAGGCTTATCTCGGGCCGTGTACGGGAGGATGAAATTATTCAGCCGGTAACGGCAGAGACTGTACCGAGGCCGCGCTACACTTCTGAGAAAATAAATTCTCCCGCGCTTCTTCAGTGCCCGTAGGTTCGCGTAGCCACTTCCTTCGTGAATTCTCTTCCTCGAAGATCGAGTTGATTCGAATAGCCATCCTTCCCTCTGGGGACCATAAGGGGACGAGCCTCTCGACTGCGCAATTCGCGTTGCAGAAAAAAACGTACAGACGCTAAAAAAGGTAAAAAGGAAGGAGGCGAAGGGGATATCGAATTTTTTTGCGGCCCCTCCTCGCTTTGCGCCTATATTGATTTTTAGAAATTCCTCGCGAGACGGTCGAACGCGAATGTAGAAAGGAGCGAGCGAGCAAGCGAAACGAACCGGCGAAGGAAAGAAGAAAAGAGGAGAGAAGGAAAGAAACGAAGCAGCCGGAAAAGAAACGCGGCCCTCGAGCCTTCGCGCGTTCTAGGGCGGTGCAGCGCTGTTTTACGAAACCTTTTAACGGGCAATGCCCGATAGAAACCGAGAACATAATTAACTTGGAACTTATCAAGGCAAGGAGCGTCGCGTGTTTTGCGTCTTCACCAAACCTCTCGGCGCAATATTTGTCTCGAGAATTCTCTGCCACGCGTTTTGACTCAAATCCAACGTTTTTCTACCTTTTTTGCAAGCAAACGTTGCTCACGTTCGTTATATAATTCATTAATAGATATTCTCTTGTTTTTCATAACTTCTTCTAACGTTTTGTCTCTTATATACCGCGTTCAATTGTGTGTTCACACATTGAAAGGTTTCTCTTTGAAAAGGCCTTGGAAGAACGTTTGGCACGTGTTGTGAAACGTTAGTGAGAAACATATTCGAGAAAATATTTACATGATTAGTTGTCGAAAAAAAAAAAAATTCGAAATTTGAATTTCAATGGTGACACGGTGAAAAATTTCAGCGAGAAATCGAAAGGAGTCGGTGAAAACGATGGGGGAAAGGGAGAGAGAGAGAGAGAGGGGAGGGAGAGAGAGAAATAGAGAAAATCACAGCATTAGTAGTACAATTTATTTTCTACGAAGAATAATACTACAGCGACGCTGTATGGAAAGGGAAGGCAAGAACGTCGCGGCACGAGCGAAAAGTTTAAATGAACCGTTAAATTTTTCATGGAATAAAGCTTGAAATAATGGGACAAGGGCGATGTGTGCGTGTTGGAAAGTATTTATAAGATTCGTAAGGATGTTTACGGCATTTGTTTCTAACAACGGGAAAATTCCCACCCGTATTAGACATAATGCGAGACGGCCCTGCTTATAGTCGAAAGCAATCGAAGGTAGTCGAAGTCGACCGAGGACAGTGGAAAATAGTGGGATGTTTCCCCTCTTTCGCTTCTGACCATCCCTCAGCCCCTACCATCGCGCGCATCCCTTCCTTTAGGCTCGACGTTTCTCTGTTTCTCTCGTACACGTTGACGGTTCTCTCAGTCGCTTCCTCCTCCCTCTCTGTCTTGCTCTGGCTGACTGTCTCGCTCGCTCTTTCCTTCCGTCTTTGTCCGTCTCTGTTTCTCCTTCTTGCTCGTTCAGCTCGTTCTTAACGTCAAACCACTTAGGGCCGCGGACCTCGGCAGTCAGTCGATCTTTCCTAGCAGCAGCATTCCGGCATTTTCCACCTGATCGCGCGCGGGCGGTCCGGCAAACGCCATTTTGTTCGTCACGTCTGATCGTCACGTCTCCTCGTTAGAGAGGATCCTCGTGCGTAAAACGTTTGTATGTGCCGCGCACCCTTCCACGCCCCGTGCAACACCTGCGTTATCAAAAACAACAAACGAAGGCGACGCACTTTATAACACACGCGCGGTTGTTGTGTGGTGCCGGTGGTTTACTTTGCCTGTTCCGTCAACCGATAACGGACATCGAGAACGGAAAAGGACGCCGGGTGTTGTTTTTCCGTTGGCGAGACCCGCACGGAACGCAGTGCGTGACCCCGCGTGGTGTTCTCTCTCTCCTCTACACGTTATTCTTCCAACCAGCCACATTAAGAACAACGCAGCAAACCGATACATGAGAACGTGAGTACGCACCAAATTATTTCTATATTCACGCGTATCTCGGCTGTCTTTCCGTCTATCACACGCTCGAACGTTAGATCTTGTTTTTTCCTGCCTGCATGGCATCGTCTGCCATGTTAGACCGGCGTCTCTTTCTCTTTCTCCCTCCTTTTCTCTGTCCCTCTCTTTTTACTCTCTCCCTTCTCGCGTCGCCCCGCTTCCTCGTGCTGCGTGTAAACGCGCTCTCTCCCACCCCTCGCGTCTCGACAGGAGCGTCGACATGAATTTTCCGATTGCGAATTTTAATGGTAATACAATGACGATAATAATGACGCTGACAATGTAGCTGTCGTTGTCGCTGCTTACGTTGGTGTCGATGTCGATGCGATGTCGATGTCGATGTCGATGTCGATGTCGATATCGATACTGACGGTAATCATAGTGTCGGTAAGAAACGACTACGTCTACGACACAACGACGACACAACGACGACGAGCACGACGACAACCGCACGACGACGACGACGCCGCCGCCGTCGTTGCCTGTCAACCAACCTCTCGCCTTCATTGACGCGTTCCTGTATTTTCGCTGTTGTATAATTCGTGTGTACATGTGCTACGAGCGTTCGTACGATTGAACAGAGAACGAAAAAGAGGGAAAATAAACAGAGACGCGGCGAGTGCGAGTGAGAGAGATAGAGGTGGAGAGAGAAAGAAACGAAACGCGCACGTATTCGTAGGACAACACGAGTCGAAATGAAACATCGTGGCCCCCGTAATTCTACGCGAATGTACTCGAACGATTTCTTTGACGTTTTTTCGTCTGTTTTCGGAGCTATACTTTTCGCGGAAGGCGTGCGCACTTCTCGGAGCGAACATAACCTTAAACGACGAGTCGGGAAATATATTCCGGTACAGTGCGTATACATCTCGGAAGACATAGGCGCGGTTCTTGACACTTGGATATTACCGACGATCCAGCACGTGCACGCGTGCGTCCGATGCTCTAAGATAGTGCATCAAAGTGTAACCAATCAAAGTAACTGCAGTTTTGTTTATTTCGTGCGGTGGTGTAAAAGCGCGGGAAGCGGGAGGGATGGAGTCAGACCGCGAAACGCAAGATTTTTACAGTCGATTATTCGCGGGAAACACGTGCTCGAAAAACGTTTCGTGTTTCCGAACAGAAATTGCGTCTTTGAATTGCGAAATTTTGAATCGGAATGATTTCAAAGTGACTCATCATTACGAATCAGATTATTTTCCATGAATACCGCCGCGCAGTAACCGAGGACGATAGTTAATTCAGTGCTTATCTTCACGCGGAAATTTTTCGTTCTAGGAAAACTTCTAATCAGTTTTGTCGTTTTTGCAAACCGACTCGTGAACTGCCATTACAATTTTTATAACGTCTCGATATCACGTTGCACGCGTTTTTCATTTTCCTTTTTCGTTTTTTCTCTTTTCTTTTTTTCCTTCCGTGACGTAGATCGTCACCGTCCAATACCAATGCAACTTACGTTTCCGTGAAATCTAATAGAACGTAAAATGTTTTTTGCGCAAGCGGTCGTGCGCTATACTTATCTGAAATATCGTCGCGTACAATAGAGGCGAAAAAAAGCGTTTATCGGGGGGAAAAATTTCAATCATCATGATTTTCTTGTTCGTTCACGCGAGCGTCCATATTACGCGTGTACCATTTTGGGAACAGTTGTTTCGCGCGAAACCGCGTTATCCAGGCTCGAAAGAAAATTATGAAATCCTATTGTATCAAGCGCATTTTTTACACGCTCTTCGTTTTTCCTATATTTTTTCCATTTTTTCCAATTTTTTCCTTTTTTTCTTTTTTTCCCGGTAGAAATTGCGTTATCTCGTTGGTACCTCGTGTCAGTGGTTCCGTTGACGATGCGTCATAGCGAATTATTAAACTCTTCGAAAAAGAGCAATTACTTGACGTCATTGCAGGCCACCTGCCTTATACGCGATTTTCTTTAACACGTGCAGCTGTGCGTTAGTCGTGGTAATTTATGTCATCTTCGGCGTGGAAACGGGTTTTTCCAAAAATAAAATACCAACGAACCGATCGACGTTCGCGATACGTCGGAAAATTACCAATTGACATCACGCGACGAGCACGCGCAGATTTTTTCGAGCCATTTTCAAAGTTCACCGTGGCAAATCCAAGCTTTTCGCGCGTTCGTGAATTTTTATAGATTTCTCTTTGCCGCAAAAAATAAGGCGTGTGCATCGGTGGTCGTGGTGCAGCGGGAAAAGAGACGTTGAAACGCTCCTGGCGTCGCGCGTCGTTCTCATGATCATTTTAGACTTTGCAAAAAGACGCTGTTGCGCAATCGGTGTCACCGGCACTACGAATCTAAGATTTTCTAGGCGAGGATAAAATAAACTCGGTCGTTTATTTCTTTCGCGTCTCGAACGCAACGAGATATCATCTGGATGCGTAATTTGGTCAGAGTTTGGGCCTTTACGCGGGTCTCCAAGTTTTAGCCAACTTCTCCTCCGGTTCCAGCGTGTAATTGGGTCGTGTACCATTGCTCGCGCTAGATCGAGATTAGAAGAGACGGACGAAAACTTGGCTTCGAATACTCGCATTGTTTGTTTCCGCTGTTTCTAACAGTGTCCTCTCTTTTTTTTTTTCCCCCGAACCTCGGCTAAAACGATTCGACCGATGTTCCTGTTGCCGGGCACTCATTCGCGAACGATCGTTTCATCTTCGTTTTCCCATGGATTCCTTTGGTGAACGTTAAACGAGTCGCTGCGTCGAAAATCAACGGAAAGAGATTTACCGCTGGTAAGTAGTAGTGGGACCGTGGAACGCGTGGAAAGGAAAAAAAAAATGAGTTACGCTGACGGTAATCGCGATGACAACAATCTAGGTAGTAGTGGTAGTGGTAATAATAAGAATAAATGTGCGCGACGATCGAGAGAGCGATGACGATCGTGGGATTAATAACGATGGAAAAGAAGATGGAGGAGCGGAAAGATGGGGTCGGGACGGTTGTGCAGAGCCACGCGGTTCTAAAGCGTATGCACATACGCCGGCATATTACGATGCGAACGACCTCTGTTCCGCGTGCGACACCGATCGGTCGCGATTCCAGCAGGATCTCGGGAAAACTCGACCACCGTTATTGTGCAACGTGTGGTTGAAAATCGCGGCGGCGAGCGTAGTGGCGTCGAGCCGCGAAGATGCAACGAGGCGCGATTCGCAAGGCGAACCCGTGCTATTCGAAATACAAAACGGTTCCGGGCCTTTATTGCCGGCGAATAACAAATTGCGTATTTATCGAGGACTGCTGGGATATCAGCGAAGCGGTGCACGAGTACCAACCACTACGGATGCAGCGTCTCGGCGAAGGTGGTGGGGATAGGAGTCAATATCGAAGATAAGCGTGCGAACGTCTTGACTCGGCCCCGTTCAATCTTTTTCCGTGCCTTGAAAAATGTGTTTTCTCTCGGTCGTGTGCGCGGCCAGCTGCGCGCTGCTCTGCCCTCTCGCGTGTGTACGCGTATTTCTGTAACGCGGGATAGTGACCCGCGTAAACGCTCGAAACGCTTCGTATTATTTACATCGCCTTTCGTCCCATTGTTGAAAACATTGCACCGACCACCGACAGATAATTAGCTGTATCGTTTCTGTTATCGTTTTTATTCGTCGCCAGTGCATACTCTGTTTCACCGTATTGTTTGCGCGTAAATATTAAACGAAACGCGATATACTCGGTGCGCGTCAGCGGTCCGTTACGAGCGTACGCGTAGGGAATTTTCGGTTCTTAGTTTCCGTCGACGCCTGCGAAAATGATGCTGCAAATATTTGCGTCGCTTTTTTCCCGGGGCCCCGGGCCCCGCGCCTTTTCGTGCCTCCCGTTCGCTTTTTCAGCCCCGGTCTATACCCGGACATGGTCCGTGTCCGACTTCCGTCTTCTACGCGTTTCCAGTGTTGTCCTTATTTTTTTCCAACCATTTTTTCCCTCTTCTTTTTTTATCGCCCCTCTAATCCCAAGTATATACTCGCAAGAGTAATTTATATGTTCATCGTTACGAGCATCTTTTTCCTGGTAAATAGTAATAAGACGTAACGAACCGCGGTTTCTCGTTTTGTTTCTAAGGCCGCGAGGAGTTTGGATTCGTTTCTTTTTTCCTTTTTTCCTTCTCTCCTCGGGTACCGAAGCTTCTATTTACGAGGAAATTTCTGTTCCGTTGAAACGAAAACGATCAAACACCGTGCGTCATCGTACGACGCTTTGAAATCGGTGGGAAGGATGTAAACTTCTCGAAAAGGCTCGATACCACTTACGTTATGTTTAATTCATCGGTTTTTTTTTTTTTTTTTTTTTTCCTT